AGTGGTCAGATGCTTCACAGACACGCTATTGCCACGTACACACACACACACCACACACACACACGCACACAACTGCCTCCCCCAGCCTGATGCTTAAAGGTTTTGTCTATAGAAATATTTAGTTATTAAAATTCCTGGACTTTTTTTTTCAAGTAAAATAACCTAGGTGAACTGCACACATTTAGAAATAAATTACAATTGATTTTGCTAGTTGTTAAAATCTATTTTTTCGTAATCATTCGTGTGAGTTCAAGAAGAGACAGAGGCAGTGGAATGTAAAAATGGACATTAGCATTAGATGCTATCACTCTGTGTCAAGAGTGTTTCTAGGTACATCCCCTTTTTCTTCTCCCTATAACTTTTCCTCATGTTTTTGTTTTGATATTGTAGCGAAAATGTGCAAACTCAATCACTGCAGCTGTACACACTTGGTTGCCCCAGTGTATTGTGATGAATCAGGAGGATGCTGGAGAAGCACAAAAATAAGTTATTCCACATACTACCTCCTCTTCTCTGGAGAGGTCTTCAATTTTGTGACTAGTGCCTCTTTCAGATTATGCGAGAAAGATTGGGACTTTCCAGCAGCAGCATTTGAGAATTTGCCTATATACACGTCATGGGAAAAAGAGATAATGTCTTTCTGGTTTTATACCACCTCATGCTTTTTTGGAACTCTTTCACAGGAAAAAAGCAGTTGCAAACAAGGCATCTGTATGATGCTCTTACATGGTTATGATCTATTTTTAGAGCCTGATCCTGATATCACATTAAACATTCCCCTCAAATTATTAATTCCTCATGACATAGCCAACACAGCTCATTTTGTATATAATAACGAGCTCTAGAAAAAGGTAGAATTTGAACTTGCTATCTTTTGGGACATGAAAGTACACATCTTTTACAAAACTCTTCTGGGCAAAATGTTATATAGCATTACTTTGGGGATAAGTATTTTTTAGGCAGACCTTAAGTGATGTGTACAAAGGTGTTCTTTTCTTTCCCAGCATTCATGACTGAAAGCATCATATCAAATGAGTAATATACAGTTATATATAATAATAATAATCAAGAATCCTTACAGTTGTGAAAGCTCCTTTAGATCCTTAAATATATATGGAGGAAGTGATTCAATCTTGTTGCTAGCCAAATCTCTGCAGAAACAGCCACAGGTAGGATGCAGTAAGTTCTTACTAGGCTCAGTAATTTTACCGAACAGTTTTGCAATTTCAGGACACACAGTTTTATTCTATTTGCCAAATAGGATATTATTTATTACATAGGCTATCAGAAGCTTGGACTACAAAAGAATGCTGTTAAAACAAGGTGGGAAGCTAGATCCACCAGATCTCTCTTTGTCTTGTTAGTTCAGATATGCCATTAGATACCTCATTTATTATTATTTTATTTACATCAAAAAGAAAGTAAAATACCCTTAACTTGGGTTGTAGGAGCTTGAAAATAAATTAAACAGATGATTGTTTCGTGATGGGAATTCTTTCACATGGGCTAGCCAGCACATCTTTCCCTTAGTTCTTCTCTCTACCTTGCTCCTTATTTTCACTAAACATAAATCCTAATAACTGTGGACAGAGGAGTAAAGGTCACACGCACCTAGACTGTGGTGACGTAAGATTAATTAGTATTATTCTATTCAGGGAACATAATGATCTTGTGAGCAAAAAACCTGGTATTATTGATACAGAGTAAGTATTTTATCTATTACTTCTTCCCTGTTAAATATATAGAAAAAAACCTGAGGATAGGTGCTGTCTCCAGAGCATGTTATATGAAATAGAATTTATGATAAATGATATTTGCAATATATATTATAAATCTTTGTGACTTGTACAAGTAAGAGAAGAAATCAACTCACAATTCATCTAGCATCTGGAGGGAAGAAAAGCTGTTTTCATTTAAAGAGCTGATTTTATTTCGTCTCATCACCCTGAAAGAATAAAACAAACATATGTTGCTGCTTCTTGACACCTATTTGGTTTTGGAGAGAGCTTTTTATAAACTTTAAAAATGCTCTCTTCTCTGCATCTTCAAATATTTGCCCAACTCAGTTAACAAGCTAATCGGATCTAGAAGCTGACCATTTTACCATTTGGTAAATAACTTTTGTTGCCTATACACACATCTTTTTGTGCACGTATACATATATACACACACACCCCCGTAGGAGGCTGGTATAAATTGACTGAAGGCAGGAGGAAGATTAAGTGGGCTGGAAGGCTTGTGACCTAACTGCATCTCGGACACAAGCACGTGGCCGTGCACCTCTTCCTTCACCCACTTCCTTCATCTGCCACTGAGCTTACTCCTTAAATGAACAACCTGGAATTTAAAGCCAAAGAGAAAGCCAAGAATACAGGTACTGCAGAAGAGTTAAAAATTGAAAGTGACAGGTACCGTGGAGCATACTATTCTAGCAAAAGGTTGAAGGGATTTTCTGAAGATGATTACAACATCACTGAGGAAACTTTGGGGAAAATTCTAAAACTGCTGAGGCAGCCAACCAATCAGCCAAACTCTTTAAAATAAAGAAACAAGCTGTGTATTTTTTATTATGAGATTTTTGCCTCCTAGAAAATTTCTAAATCTTAATATCAGTCAAAATCGCTTCATATAGTTGCATGTATCAAAGCTGAACTTTACTATAAATGTAAACAGTGGTTATTCTGTATAGCGTTCATTTAAAACCAAGCATTTTAATTCAATCTGCTTGAGATCTAAATAACCATGATAGTCAGGAAACTTTTATATTAGCTGTAATGAATCAGCTGACTGTTCAGCACAAGCGTATCTCAGTCTGGCTGGCTAGCATATCCTATTACTTACAGTACAGTTAGAGTGTTGCAGGAGATGAAAGTGACATTTCTTACATGATGGATATGGTTGCCTTCAAGGTCTCTGGGATATAAAAACAAAACATCAATCACTGAAAATAAATTGAGGCAGTTATTCTAAGGTAGTTAAAGAAAAATACTACCAGAACTTCATGACTGCACAAAAGAGGGTGGGAACCAGACATCTAATTTTTCTGCACACCTAGTCGATGACTTCAGGTCATCAACCCTGCAGTGACCCAGCACGCACTCTGTAAGATCTAGCGCCCCGTTAGAAAAAGTGGCGTGGAAGCGCCATACAAAGACAACAAAATAATATTTTTCTAGTGAAATAAGGTAAACTTACAACCAGTTTAGTCTTGGCATATATTGGCACAGAGGTTTATCAGGCAAACGAGCAAGAGAATTATTCATCATCTCTCTGAAAAAAAGAAAAATAGTATAGCTGGCTATATTTGCCAAAAATTATATTATAGAAAAAATTCATCTCTCTTATGTTTGTACTTTTGAAAAAAAGGCAGTCAAATCTTGATTAATTTCTCATAGTCTTGGAGGTAGTATTATTTTCTTAAAATTCTACCTGTTTTTCCTATGGCATTCTGCAGAGCAGTATTTTATCCTTAACTTGTTAATTACCAGGTAAAGGAAAGGTGTTCACTTTGCTGCTTTTTAAATAAAATATAGCAAGTTAATACAAAAATTTTGACTATTCTGTCATAACACGTAACTTCTACTGGTGACGGAGGAAGGGGGAAGTGGAGGGAGTTTTCCCTCGGGGCTGCAGGGGAAGGGGGTCCCTTGTGTTTGGGTCTGGAGAGGGCAGCGGCAGGTTACGGACAGGGTCTCGGGGAGGGAGACCAGGCTGCTGCCAGGGGGCAGGAGCCGTGGGACCCCTGCCTCCTGCACCGCGGCTCTGGAGGACAACTGGCACCCATTGCTGCAGCTGCCATGTCCTTGCCCTCTCAGTGACATTGTCTTTTTACCATTTTTTCCCACCCATCTCCCTATACTTTTCCAGACACTGCATGTCCGCTGCTGCCAAAATCCCCCTACTCCAGCAGGTCTTGCCTGGAGGTAAGAAAAAGCCACAGGTGTACTGCCAGCACTCCGTGGTGAGCAAGCAGAGTCGTCATAAAAAGGCTTTTATATATACCTGTCCTTTCTGTTCTGTTCTTTTAAATAACACTTTTGGTTCTTATTCAATACTTACAGGAGAATAAGTGATTTGAGTCCATAAAATATTAATGGAGAGATCCGATTTATCCTATTATTCTCAATTATCCTATAAATTACAGCAAAACATGTATCAGTTTTATAATTGTCTGCAGTCTTAAATTGAACAGGTGATAAAAAAGTAACATACTTTGAAGTGGATTTCTTCAAATGTCCATTCAAACTACTTAAAAAATTAATGCATTACTCCTTAGCATGTCAGGGTATTCATTGAATTAATTTCCTTTCAGAAGAATATAATTTAAAAAAAAATAACTTAGAGAAAGTAATTACTTTCAACTTAGAAAAAAGTGTTTTCTTGCGAGTTTTTAAAATCCTTTGATCAAGACACTTTGAATGGATGCCCTGTGAAAATAAAGCAGCACCACATAACTGTTCCACGGCAATCCAACAGTTCCAAACACACAGAAGAACGTTAGGCATGTTATTATTTGCTTACTTTTAATAACTTAGTTACTGAGTCAAGATAGGATTTCATTTTCATCTGTCTGAAAAGCAGTAATAAACCAGTATTTTAGATTATGCAGTCATTTTGTCTGGGACATTTCAAGCACTATTTACAGGGAAAAGACCTGCCCCAAAAATTCTCTTTCTACTGTTTGATAGTATCTGAGTTAGTTCATGTACTAATTTGTAACAAACAATTACTAATAAACATTATTTAGTATTGTAAAAGTCATCAGTCATTGGAGCCATTAAGGCCCAAGGACTAATTTCTGCTCTCACCAAAGTCAATTGGATTTTTACCTCGCACAGTGTAACAGGAGTTCCTTTATTATTATCTCGTATAAAGTACTACTATGCACAAAAATGAAAGCAATCCAAATATTTCTTTCTCTTGCTTTAATTATTCCTTGAGAAAATAAACATACAAATAAGAAAAACACATACAGCCATTCAAGTTTGTGGAGATCTTCAAAGACACCAGGCTTCAAACTGGTTAACTTGTTGTTACTCAGGTATCTGAAACAGGACCAACAAAAGATAGACAAATGGAATGACTAATTACCATCGTATGCACGAAAATGAATTTTAAGATTTTTCCTTCATAATTTATCAGAATACTGCTAATTTTTTTCATAATTATAATTTTTGATTATGGTAATTTTCATGTCCTTCTTTGAGAACAAGGCGGGACTCTTGGTAGTGAGGACTTTTGGAACAATTATGTAGAACATTTTGTCTTATCTATAAGAAAACACAGCAAGCTAAATATTTTCACTGTATCATATTTTAGGCCCTTTCCAGTTTCCTTCTGTGGAGTGATTCATTCCATGAATGTTCCCAGGATCCCGTTCAGTCTCAGCTAAGGACATTAGTCAAGTGTAGATACCAGAATCATGGAAAAAGAAAGCCTGAGAAATGAAGGGGGCGGGTGTGTGTGTGTGTGTGTGTGTGTGTACTATAACCGGTCTGGGAAGGTAATAACAGCAGCTATAATAACAGATGAGCAACCACACTCATGTGACGGAAAAAGAAGAGGTGCAACATTTTAAAAAACTTTCCTTTTAAAAACGCTGCAGAAACAAAAAGCTGAACTCAACACCACAATTTATGTATCATCTCTTTCACCGAGCATTTTCCTTAAATTTAGAAGCATCTTTCAGAAATCTGCTGCAAAATAAAGAAAATAGTGTTCTTTTCATTACCGATACTAGTTACTTTGGTTTGCTTCTGTAAACCAAAATACAACACCAAAGAGTTTTGATTCATCACAAGCTCTTGCTTTTGTTTTATTCCTTTTCTGTTCTTTCTGACTTCATGCAGGTAACCACCGTACTGTCTTCCATTCTGCAGATTTGGGGAACAGGAGTGAAGTATGGAGCCCACTTGTGTTTTCAAAGTATTGTCCTGTCAGATAACTTGCACAGACAGCTCTTAATCTATCTTTGCTTTCTCAAGCCAATTGTTAAGTTACAGATATGGACCATTTTGCAACTTCCTAACATTGAATCAAATGAGAGCGAGACATCCGTAGCGACTCTCAGAGCTCTTCCCGTTGCTTTTTACTTCAGTATTCAAACAGCAATACTTACAGTTTTGTCAAGTTGTATAAACCTTTGAAAGCACGTTCAGATACAGCTCTGATTTTATTATTCTGAAGATACCTAAGAAGATAGAACAACAACGACAATTAATTCTCTAAGCATGCAAAGTCAAAGCAAGCATAAATAACAAATTAAAAGCTATCAACTAAACTGAACACATGTGCGGTACTTGAAAAGAAGCTGCCAAACTTGTTACGTCTTAAATTTGACAATATCCATTTCACAGCTATAGTTGCAAAGACTGCAAAGGTGTTTTAAAAGAAATACCCCCCCCTCCCAGCAGCATTGCAAAATTCATTCAAAGGGACGCGTGGTTTGCCTGAGATGAACAACGAAGTGGTTGTACGTGACCTCCTGTTTTAGCTCCTAACCTTGCAGTTCTCACCTGTGTGACCTGATCTGAACGTTTAGCCAGAACCCTGCTACAAGCAACATAATTTTGCACGGCAAATGTCGAATTAACGTGTTTTTTAATTTTCTGTTTATAGTATCAGAGAATTTTCAAAATGCTGCATTTTTAAGACAATATAATAAAAATGTAAATCGAATCTTACTAATTTTCTGTCAACTAAAGAACACATTTTTTTCCTTTTTTTAATCTACTTTTATAAAATAATAAGTTAAAAATGTAATCAACTGCAAACATTAAATCCTTTTCAAATAATTTTAAAGCATTACACTGTTATTCGCTGAGTAATATTTAAATATAAATCCTTTTAATTAAATTACAGTTAATAAAGAACCCAGATGCATTCCTGTTAAAAAACAGTAAGAAAGCTGACACTGGCTTTTACAAAATGGGTTTGTGTCAAACACTGCTCAAAAGCCTTCTGAAAATGTACAGTTATCGACCAGAATTGTGTGAAATTAATATTAGAAACAAATTGTTTGTACAGATGGATACAGACGCATTTCTTTTAATGAAAACATATCCTTCAAGACTTTAAGGCAATAATGGCACTTAACTCTGTGAACACAAGGTGGTGCTGCAGTACAGCACAGTTTCCGTGGAAGTTACGCTCCAGGAAGTTTTCTAGGCCGGTGAAGTGCCTTGAGTTGGTGACGTAGGAGCCCTACTCCAGGCTTTTGCATTTAATTCTTAATTTCACCAATCCCATATAAAGCAAACTTGTTAAAGGCTATGATCTTTGAATAACATATATGTTACACATCGTAAAACATAACGCAGTATTGTGTTGCCCTAACAATTTGACTAGTTGGGGCATTATCAAATTGGTAGCAGACATAATTAGGAGTAAAACCAAGTGCCATGTGAGTGAGCTTCCCATGGCAATGGCAAGTTCAAGTTTCTAAACTTTTGTTTAGCAGGATAAATGGATTAAGTTACTTTAATTTCTTTTGGCATATTACTGTTCGTTATAAATGTAACTTCCTTCACAGACGATGAAAGTTTAGCATTTTTCTGGTATAAAACAGTCAATACAAAAAAAGTAAATATGCAGAAATTATGGTTTTGCAAAAAGAGAGATATCAAATCAAGCTATTTGAGCCAAACAGGTTACACAATTAGATGAGGTACTGAAGAGTAAGACAAAACAGAATTTTGAGTATAAACCGAGGGTTGTCACTTAGATGTTAAGTGTGTTTGTAAGAGGATGAATATTTAAGGCACTAAATAGATATCTTAAGTTGAATCACTCCCTTACAGATTTTTAAGGTCTTGGTATTTCTTGAAAATGTCAGCAGAAAGTTTCCTTAGCAGATTCCTCTGAAGAGACCTGTAGGAACGAATGCAGACAGTAAAACTACTCTCCCAGCTTCCTACAGTGCTACCACTTTTGTTATTCAATAAGAGCATCTTTCACACTGCTAAATAATAAAAGCAACATGAAACCATTTGAATGTGCTATCTCTGTTTGTCTGAATATTTCTATCTATTTAAGCAGTAAGCCAAATACTTTATCATAAAAAATGTCCCCAGAGCAACCGACAAAATAATAGTTAAATCTAAGAGTTAAAAAGATTTGAGTATTAACTAAACCACAGACTTATTTCAAACCTCAAATGCATATAGATCTTATTTCCCAGTGCATGTGTCCCTATGTCCCCATCTCTGTTGGCCGCCGACTCAAGTGTCCTGTCAAGAACAAAATTTGTTCAGGGCATGGTTGGATTAGAAGAGAGTCCGTCCCGAAAGCCGGCTGAACCGACTCACTGCTTTTTCTAAAGCTAGAACTGAGGCATTATTTTTGAAGTCTTGGTTGACCCTGAGCCAACAGCCAGTTTAAATATATATTTGACATTCCACATCAATCTTCGTTATGAAGGATTGCGGTACCACATGTGAGCACAAACTGGTACCGAACAGAAAGATCCGTACACCTGCTCTACAGAGAAGATCCTCAGGTAAGGACTCATGATGCTGCCCTCTGCTCATCACACAGAAAACGGCCTCTCAAACAGTGGCGTGCAAACTAAAAGCATTATCAACCATTCCCTGATCTCTTCAAAAAGTCTGGCTTACACATACGTATCTGTATGATGACCCAGCCCAGATTAAATCCTTTTAAATAACAGCATATTGAGAGACATCAAATGAGAACTAAAAAGATTTGCTTGAGCAGGTAGTTCCACTGAGTTCAAGGTTATTGACTTTATTGGAAGGAATATAGATTGGGAATATTGGCAGGATCACAGAATAATAAAAAGGTCCTAAGCGTTGTGTCTTAAAAGGAAACATTTCTTCTGAAGATGTCTTTAGATTTCCTGAAACTGTTGCTAGCTCAAGTCACTGTTACAAATATGAAACGATCGATTCACACAGAGTTTTTCAGTTCCTTTTCTCTCCTTTCATGCAGGGAAAACCTGTACTTAAAACGTTAAAGGACTTGTCAACAGAGAGACACTATGCTTTCACAAGCACCAGCTGAGCCAACTGGTCACAATTATAAGGCTGTAGTTGTGAAAAGGTTGTAGGACCGATAGTCAAGCCTGAACAGAGCAAGAGACCACTTTTCTGCTCTACTTACATTATGGTTATGTTTGAAGAGACTGACGGGACAGCACGCAATTTGGCAGCGTCGCAGAAGATCTCCAGCCCTTGGCAGGTACACCCTGCTGGCACAGCACCATGCGTGAAAACAAGAACGTGGTTGTGGCACGTTGGATGGGTGGTGTGATGGGGTGGGGAGAAAGAAATACGGTGTAAAAGAACAGTGAGCGCAAAGGCAGACATACCAGGCTGTGTTAAACAGAAATTAAGGCACATGTTTTTACGTAATTGGTTTAGACCTGGGAAGACCCTAACAATAAATATAAAGGGACACAAAAAATTATGTTACCTCCTGACCTCTGTGAAAGAGCTTGTAAAAGCTCTTGAGCTTTCGGCTTGATATACAGGAATCTGGCATGGTAGCAGTTTTTCAGATTTTTTATGGCTCTTTTTTAGATTATTCAGTCCTCTGATATTTACTAGAATGAGCACAATTCTGTCCAGGTGAAAATGGGATGAAAACGGGTCCGGAAGTCTTTGCTCCCTTCCCCCTGTCTCTGCACTTTAAGTTAGCGCTCACAGTAGACAGCAGAGTCAGAAAATCTGTGTGAAGGGATGAATGCCAGCAGGAGTGGAGGGGGTTTGCAAGAATCATTTGATGCATGAAGAAGTGAATTTGGAGGAATGTTGCCTTCATTTCACTCCAAAAGATATGTGTTTCATGGTCTTTCCAGCTGTACTAATATATTCAGATGTACATTTATATTGCCCTCCTAATTGGCATATGTTTCACACTTCTCTTAACAGAAAATTAATCACTCTTAATGGAACTGAAATTAGCTTCAATGCATTTGTTCTTCTGAGACGTAAATTCTGTTTTACTATAAATTAAACTGCACTATATTTCTCTTTCTGATAAGCACATTTGCTATGTATTTTTTTGTAGGAATCATTAGTAATAATCACACAAATGATATCTATAATTACTTACAGCACTCAGGTGTCTTTGTCTGAAATGCATACAGAGATTTCAGTTTATTGTATTTGTCCTTTGTGTAATGTTTATCAAATTGCAGAGACCATCCATTGTTGTCTTCTAATAAAAAAACACAAGTAGTAGACACATTATAATAGAAATTTAGTTGCATCAACTTTTTGCCTCAATTTTTATCTCAATAACATGATTTTTCCAGAACATTTCATAGACCATTTGATGACCTTATCTTTATACAGCTGCCTAATCACAGGTATGTACAGACATTATGCGCTGCACAGTAGGAACAGCTTATTATACCTTCAACAACAATATTTTCTGTGGCAGTTGCACCGAAAAAGTGTCATCTTTCACTTCAGAACTTTTTGTTTATGTAGGAGTCTAAAAACAAGAGGCAACCATATTTTCCTACCTCCTTAAACGTGTGGGTTTGTCACTTTGTCCAGGAAAGCTCAAATGATTACTACGCCTCCGACTACTTCTTTCAGAGGGCTGTCTCACACTATCACAGCCTATAATTTCTTTCCTGAAAATCTAGGTGAAGGCCAAATGAACACTGCTTTTCAAGAAAATGGGTGACGTGGTGTAACATATTCAAGTCAGTATGTTTACGTTAAGCTTAATACGCATCTTCTTAAACAAAGCATTATTGCATATTACCAGTTCGGTCACTGTGCATAGATGTACTGGAACAGAGTGGATTATGGCCATAAAGGTGAAAATTGAAGAGCAGATCTTTCAGTTCCTTCCCACAAATGGGGATTTCCAGATACAGTGGTGCTGGAAATAACTAGAGACCTGTTTCTTGGAAGTCTGTTGTATATCTGTACATCTGTAAATTAACTGATCGGGTAACCACTTCCAAAACAGGGCAAGAATACACACCACCAAAAAAAACCCCAAACAAACAACAACTTATCTTTAAAAGCTGTGATCTGATTTAGTTTTATTAATTTGAGTCTGACCTCTCTTAAGCTTTGACAACACCCACATCTTTTTAGTTTAAAGCATCTCATGTAATGAATATGCACCAGCAGCAGAAATGCTCCTTAGGATAGCACTCACTAGCTGGTGAGTCAAAGCACCAGTGATAATTGAAAGCATTAAATTGTAATGATACCTACTGTCAAACAACATTTATATGAGAACTCTCAGGTTGGCTCTGCTTTGCTAGTCATTACAGTCTTAGTTTCATATTTATGATATGCTAGCAATGGTCTTCCCCTCCGCCCCTTTCCCATGGTAATAGTTTAGTTATACTTAAATACCATTCCTCATGGACATTTCTCTATAAATCTACATATTCAAGTAAGCATTACTACTATATCTATTGGCTTCAAAATAGGCGGGGAGAAATAAAATGTATTTACTTCTTGCAATTTTTCCCATTCTGAAATGGCATCTTCTTTTTCATGTCAGATTACAACTCAGCTGTTTTCTCAGCTAGGCAGGGGAATTACCTTGACGGCATCTCCTGAAGCCTGCTTATGGGGTGTCAGCAGATGGAGCTGTTCTGAGAGCTGCCTGCCTCGTTGCTGCCTAAGCTGGAAAGATGTACTGTACATGCTGATTAACAGATATTATGAAAGACTAAGTAACTTCAGGAAAACTATCATTTATGTAGTTGTTTGTTTGTTATGCATAAATTGAAAAGAGAAAAGATTCAAAGCAACCCAAAATCTCTGTCTTCAGGAATTTCTCCATTAAGAGAAAAGACAGACTTGAGAGGTGCCTTATAGAATCATAAAATAGTTTGGGTTGGAAGGGACCTCTAAAGGTCATCTAGTCCAACCCCCCTGCCGTGGGCAGGGACATCTTCAACTAAATCAGGTTGCTCAGAGCCCCGTCCAACCTGACCTGGAATGTTTCCAGGGATGGGGCATCCACCACCTCTCTGGGCAACCTCTGCCAGTGTTTCACCACCCTCAGTGTAAAAAATT